GACTATGCAAAGGCTTTTGACTGTGTGGATCACAACAAGCTATGGCTGACTCTGAGAAGAATGGGAATCCCAGAACATTTGATTGTGCTAATGTGTAAGTAAGGCTTGCTGAAACTGAGGAGGACCTGAAGCGCTTGCTGCAGAAGGTCAAAGATTGCAGCCTTCAATATGGATTAAAGCTCAAAGTCAAGAAAACAAAGATTCTCTCCATTGGGCCAACTGGCAGCATCATGATAGATGGTGAAGAGATTGAGATTGTTGACAGCTTCAGTTTGCTTGGCTCTACAATCAACAGTCTTGTTACCAGGAACCAGGAAATGAAAAGATGAATTGCATTGGGAAGGTCTACTGTCAGAGACCCCTCCAAGGTACTGAGGAGTAACGATGTCAGTCTGGAGAGTAAGGTGCACCTGATACAGGTCATGGTCTTTGCCACTACATGCTATGTATCATAGAGGTGGACAATGACTAGGGATGACAGAAGGAGAATTGATGCCTTTGAGCTCTGGTGCTGGAGAAGAGTACTGAATACACCATGGACTACTAGGAGAACAAACAAGTTCATCCTGGAGAGGGTGAAGCCAGGCTGCTCCTTGGAGGCAAGGATTCTGAAGTTCCGTATGACATACTTTGGACATGTTGCAAGACGGGATCAGTCCTTAGAGAGGGATGTCATGCTTGGGAGGGTGGAGAGACAGCATAGGAAAGGAAGACCTCAATGAGATGGATTGATTCTATCACTGGGGTAATGGGGATAATCGTGTTGGAGACAATAATATTGGTAAGGGATAGAGCATGGTTTAGGGCTGTCGTACATAGGGCCACTATGAGTCACAAACCATTAGACAGCACATAACAACACTTACTTAGTCACAATTTATGAAACTTTTATGCTAAACTTTTAATCTTAAATTTTTTCTCATGTAAGTTGAACCACATTTTGTTTTTAAGAAAAACATGACCTTATTGCCATCAATTTGGAACTAATTCATCACTTAACCTTCAGGGAATTTTCAGAAGCTGTAAATAACATTGGAGGAGACTGCTCATCGTTCTGCTACAGAGCTTCTTATGGATTCATATCACTAGAAACGTGCCATCTTTGGATTAATGCAACTCTCTGTCCTCTAGACCACCAAATTTCCTGCTGTTTATTATTGTCTTTTATTATAGGTATTGACACAACCTAAGTTTTATTTATATTTGGAGGCCAGAAATTGTATACATATTTTAATACATAAATAAAAATACAGAAGTAAAAAAATGTATTCCAACTATGATGAAGAATTGGATGATATTGACACTTCATCAATTTTGGTAATAGGTCCACTTGTTGACAGTTCTACAGCATCTTGGTTATATCTGAGACTGGTGTATATAATCAGAAATATTGAGAGTTGTCTTTTTGAATCTCTGTTTTTCCTCTTCATATATTTTGTGACAATATCTCACCTGTTTTCTGAATTTACTGACTTTAGCATATTAATCATCTTTTTAGCCCATGTTTTCAAGTATTTTATACACCTTTTTTACACTAAAATAAATCAATGATATATATATATATATATATAGTTTGTTGTTATGTACCATCAAGCAAGCTGTAACCGACCTACAGCTGACCCTTCGGTGGATTTTCAGAGGCACATAATCAGTAAGAAGAAGACTGCCCACCCTTTCCTGTGGAGCAGCTGGTGGATTAAAACCATTTACCTTCAGGATTGCAGCAGAGTTTCTTACCACTGGGCCACAGGGCTCTCTTAAATAGCAGTATTGTAAACAGCATCGCATAAATTGTGTTATCAGATATCTTTGATGTTAGAGAACATCTAAGAATAACAGCAAATTACACCCACATTGTATGTAATATATATTACTAATAATGGATGCACAGAAAATTTTTAAAAAAGCATGGATTCTCATAAATGCCATTCTCCATAACATGGTTATATTTTATGGCAAGAAGTATCTATAAATTTCCAGGAGCTTTCTTCTACTCTGTCTTAATCTTGAAGCAAGCAATACTAAAGTCTGCCTTCCATGCTATAGTACTTGTATGTCTGTGTGTATATGTACCTATATATGTGTATGTAGAAGAGTATATTTATTATTTAAAAATTAATGTTTCCATCTCTTGCTGTAAATTTTCCCAGCATTCTTCAGATTCTGTTGTCTAAATCTCAGTATCTCTTCAGAATAAAGAGGTTAATTTCACTTTAATTAAGATCCCAGTTATATTTATTATAAGGCAGTCTATCATACAGGCCATTAGTTGGTACTTCAGTATCAGTTTATATACCCACACTACAGTACAAAAGTTCAATGAAAATTAAAAACTGGTAAATCATATTTAAAAAAATAACTTGCCTATATATGTTCCAATTGAGTAGCCTTTAGCGCTGTCATCAACATAGATTTTTGAAAGAAGAAAAACAGGCGATGCTATTATTCCCTGTACAATCTTCCCCAGGGTGTAGAAAAACATATAGTTTGATCGGGATGATTTTACGGTATCTCTGCAAATATCTATAGCCTTCATTTCTTGGCACATATCTTTTAAAAAGATGATAATTATTATTTTTTGTAAACTGAGTTCAAAATTTTAACATATAACAAACATGCACTATTTTTCACTCTATTTTCTCTTTTAAGAGCTATTTTGACAATTAGTTTCTTTTGTTTTCAGTTAACATTTTATTTACACTGAATGTACTACAATTAATCATGTTCTCAGAAGACTGTAATTAAAAAAGAAAAGTTGCAGGAATACTGAAAAAGATGAACATAATATAGTATAAACACATTCTTTCAGATATTTTAATATTTATGCACCCATAAATATGTGAAGATATACACATTTGCTTACATACATGTGAGTGTCCTTGATTCTTAAAACAATTTCTAATGAATATGCAAATTAAAAGATAACATCCTAGGAACAATCTGCACACTAAACTTCCACAGTTATAGTAAAACAATTTTGCATTATATCCTAAAACACTTCCAGAATAAACGTTTGGTCAACACTGAAAGTACTTCTGCCAATTCAAGAACCACTTTATTACATTAAATAACATAAACTATGTTTATGACTTTGTAAAGATAGTTCTGTTACAGTATTTAGGGAACTCTGGTGGCCTAGTGGTAAGCTGTGCCGCAATCCAAAAGACACACAGTTTGAATCCACCAGCTGTTTCATGAGAGAAGGAATGACAATCTTCTCTGGTTCAATTAACTCTGAAAATCCACTGGAGGGTCAGGTACAGGTTGGTCCCAACTTGATAGTACACATAAACAACAGTATTTAGAGAAAGTGCCATGTTAACATAGACTGAAAAATGAATGAGATAAAGTAGGGAAGCTAGGAGAATTCTTTCAAGAAATTACCTATGAATCTGAAGAGGATGTATAAAATGACAAAAAAAGGATCAAGAATTATTTTTAGTTGTTATTGTTGCATTGAGAATAGGAAGAATTTAAGAAAATTTAAATGCTAATGAATGAGAACCATAAAATGGGAGAATCTGCATGAAGAAATCACCAATAAAGCATATTCCCCAGGAGACAAGAGTGCATAGGATACTGAGCACGATGGCATATTCTACATTTTAACAGGAAGGAGGAAAGAATATGAACATATACACATAGGTGGAGTAACGGATTTCATACTAAGACCATGGTGTTGTTATGTGCCATGGAGTCACCTGCAACTCATAGCGACCCTATGGACAACAGCCTTAAACCCTGCTCTATCCCTCACCAATCTTACTTACTGTCTGACATTCCTATCCGAATTACCCCAGTCACTGAATCAATCCACCTCATCGAGGGTCTTCCTCTCCTGCCCTGTGCCTCCACCCTCCTAAGCATGACATACCTCTCCAAGGACTGGTCCCTCCTTGCAACATGTCCAAAGTATGTCAGATGAAGCTTCGGAATCCTTGCCTGGTTTAACCCTCTCTAGGGTGAACTTGTTGATTTTCTTAGCAGTCCATGTTATAGTCAATACTCTTCTCCAACACCATAGCCCAAAGTCATAACTTCTCCCTTCTATCATTCCTGGTCATTGTCCAGCTCTCTGACGCATAGCAAATGACTGAAAATACAATAGCCTGTTATCAGGCACACCTTAGTCTCCAGATTGACATCACTGCTTTTCAGTAGTCCTTTGGAGAGGTCTCTGACAGCAGACTTTCCCACTGCAATATATCTTGATTTCCTGGCTGCTGGTGCCAAAAGTGCTGACTTGAATCAAGCAAACTAAAGCTGTTAACAGTCTCAATTACTGTGCCATCCATCCTGATACTGCCAATTGGCCCAGTGGTAAAAAATCTTTGTCTCCTTGATATTGAGCCTCAATACATATTGAAGGCTGAAGTCAGGTCCTCCTCAGTTTCAGCAAGTAAGACTCTGTCATTTGCGTAACACATATTGTTGATGAATCTTCCTCCAATGCTGACGCCACATTTCTCTTCATACAGCCCAGCCTCCAGGATAATCTGTTCTGCATACAGTTTGAATAGGTATGGAGACAGGACACATTCCTGGCTTACACCCTTTCCAATTTTGAACCATGCAGTGTTCCCTTGCTCTGTTCTGACGACTGCCTCCTGGTCCAAGTGTAGCTTCACATTAGCATGATCAAGTGTTCTGAGATTCCCATTCTTCTCAGAGTCAGCCACAGTTTGTTATGATCCACACAGGCAAATGCCTTTGCATAATCAATAAAACATAGACAGACAATCCTCTGATATTCCCTGCTCTCAGCCAAGATCCATCTAGCATTAGCTACAATATCCCTAGTACCACGACCCCTTCTAAACCCAGCCTGCACTTCTGGCAGTTCTCTGTTTATGTGCTGTTCCAGTCATTTTTGGATAATCCTCAGCAGCATATTGCTTGCATGTGATATCAATGATATTGTTCGATAATTTCATACACTCTCTTGGATCACTTTTATTTGTAATGGGAACAAACATAGATCTCTTCCAGTCAGTTGGCCAAGTGGTCATCCTCCAGATTTCTTGACACAACTTGGTGAGCACATCTACAGCAGCATCTATTAGCTGAAATATGTCAACTAGTATACCATCAATTCTTGGGGCCTTATTTTTGCCAATTCTTTCAAAGCAGCTTGAACTTCTTCCTTCCTTCATCACCATAGGCTCTTGTTCATATACTGTTTCATGAAATTCTTCTGTGTCTGCCAATTCTTTTCAGTACAATGATTCTGTATACTCTTTTCCATCTTCTTTTAATACTTCCCGGATCATCTAATATTCTGCCCAAAGCATCCTTAAGTATTGCAACTCGAGGTCTGAATTTGCTCTTTCATTCTTTGACCTCAAGAAATGCTGAGTGACTTCAGCCCTTTTGATTCTCTGACTCCAGCTCCTTGCACATTTCATTGTAATACTTTACTTTCTCTTCCCATGCTGCCTTTTGAAATCTTCTGTTCAACTCTCTAGTATCTTGAACTCTTCTCTTTACTTTGGCTTCTCAGAGCTCTAGTGCCATATTCAGAGTGTGATATTCAGGGACTAAGACCTTAGGGATCATTATTTTTAAATCTGCATTATCCATCTGAACCATGAGTTCAGTGAAGAAGGCCCAAAATACTTGTTATAACAGGGAGGGAAAGTGGGCTGATGTGAAAAATTTATAAATCAAGAGGATGAATCCTTGTGATTGTGATGAATCCTTGTACTGCCACCAACAAATTTATTCTGAGTTTGTGCTGTTGTTTGGTATAATTTCTTTTTCCCCTAGCAACAATCAGCAGAATCACAAATTTAAACAGAGGAAAGATTTTATAGCTAGGTCTGAAGTTTTCCAGGTTTATAACAAAAAGGTACAATGAAACAAGAAACATTGCGATAATAATTAATATTTGTATATGTTGTTTATGTGTATGTGTGTGTGCACACACGTGAGAGAGATCAAGGAACATAAAATAATCTGCAAAGGTAAGGCAACAAAATCAAAGAAAAACTAAGAAAGGAAGAATTTAGGGATAATAGACAGTTACATACTATCAAGTCAGCACCAAATCATAGCTGACCTTCTAGTAGGTTTTCAGAGGCAGTAAACTAAATGGAATGAAACTGTTCCTTTCTCTCCCTTGGAGTAGCTGGTGGATTAGAACCATAGTACTGTGCATTAACAGTACAGCTCTTTGCAACTAAGTTACCAGAGCTCCCTATTAATAGATGAAGGCTATTAACTGTTGTTATGGTCCTGTAGTGAGGTCAGTGGGTGGAATCAGAGTGGGATATAAATGTTAAGAAATTCTCATTAAAAGGAAAGTGTACTGGACAATGCTGAATGTGGACGGACACGGAAATGTTATTAGGTGCTGTCAAGTGCACTATAAATCATAACAATCCTATGAAAAACAGATCTAAACCTGTCCTACCTGCAATACCCTCAGGATCTCAGTCATTCTCAAGCTCACTGTAGTCAACTGTAGTATTCAATCACCTAGAGAGGCTTCATATCTTCTGATTTTTTACTTTTCCCAGCATGGTGGTTTTTTCCAGGGACCAGTTCCTCTTGACAATTTGCCCAAACTATGTAAGACCAAGGCTTAACATATTTTCCTCTAAGTAGCACTTTTGTTATACTTCCTTCAAAACAGATCTGTTTTTTCTTTTTGCAACCTGTAGTATATACAATACTCTTTATCAACACCACAATTCAAGGGCATAAATTTGTCTTTATCGTCGTTACTCATTGTCAAACATTCAGATACACTGGAAGAAATTAAAAGACCATGGCTTGAAGCAGGTGTACCTCATGCTTTAAACTGACATCCTCGCTCTTTAGCATTTGGCTGAGGCCCTTGATGGTGGATTTCCCCAATGTAATACATTTTTAAATTTCTTTGCTGCTGTTTCCTTAGGTATTGAATGTGAATTCAAATAACTTAAGTAATTAACAACTTAAGTCTTTTCTCCATCTATAAAGATGTTGACTGGTGGTTCAGTAGTAATAATTTTTGTTTTCTTGATGTTAAGATGTAATCCATACTGAAGACTTTTTTATTGATGGCTTAAATCCTGTAGTTATGATATTTGTGCCCACCACCTTTTCTTCTTGAATCACAAAATAAATGTCAATTTCAGAAGTTAGGTGGTGAATATTCATCTTCCCTCTAGAATCTTGTGGGTGGGAGGCTTTTGCCTGATTTAGAAAGGAAAATTTCATATTTTAAATATGAAGTACAC